TTACTTATAGAGAGAGTATGTGTTTCTATTTTATTATATAAAAAATAAAGGATCAGTTGCTTTATAGGTTTTTTTCGTATACATAAATCCCCTAACAATATTAAGTGCCTGTAATTCTTGTATTAATTGCTTTAAAAAAATCTGATTATCTGGCTTAAATAAAATCATAGCAATCGCATTACACAGTAGTAGCGATCACATTGAATGAAATCGTGGAGCGTTCATGTCATAGCGCTCCTGGAAAAATTCTTTACCCGTATCGAATTCTAGCCGCGCGTTCTCCGTCGAGAGTATAGAAAATGTGCGTACGTGACAACAATTCTCCACGACGACTCCATCTCGACGGTGGCATTAACCCTCCCTGGTTTGCAGATCGCATGCGTAACGCGGCGCGACGGGAAAGCCACGCGCGGCATCACGTCCCTCGTCATATGCACACACGGTGAATTACACACGACGTCAGACACACTTCGTGATAGTGAAGGATGTCACCGGATTTAATTCGGCGGTTTGTCGGTACTCGAACGATCGAAACCGTATACCGAGAGTGACAGAGACAAGGGCGCATCGTGGGTTAGTGGTCGGAACCCGCGGCGAAAGAGGGGGGGGGGTCGAGGTGGTTGCGCGAGCCGGGGGAGGAGGAGAGGGAGGGAGGGCCCGAAAGGGGTGGAGAAATACTCCTCTCTCTCGTTGTGTGTTGCCCCGGGTACCAACAACGGTGTTTTGCGATGAGGGATGGACGGATGTGACGTCACGGGAGCTCACGCCGTGATCTATGGCGGCTGATAATGAAAGCGCAGAGGTGAGATACCGCGATGGAAACTATACCGTATAAGCTATAGTTTCCGCGGGAGCCGTCACACGGCAATGCCGCAGCATTCAACCAACCCCCTCCCTCCCCTCCCCTCTCCACCCCTCACCCCCACTTTCGCATCCTCCAACCCCTCTCCCGGTTACCACCTCGCCACCGTTTCCTCTCGCAGCTCATCGCGAAATTATATCTTCACAATGGGGGATTCGACGCGGTGACGATAAAAGCTTGAATTATGAATATCGGTTAATTCACGTTACGCATTCGGGAACCGCGATATGGATGATCTGGCGCCAGCGTTACTTTATGACGCGGTCGCGCGATTCCGCCGCTTCGATGGCGAGCGCGCGAAAACTTGTAATTATCGTGGTACGCAATGCCGCAAATTCCATTCGTCCCCGCGATAACAGCTGGAGGCCTGCAGGTTACGTGTGCGGTACGTCGTTGTCACGTATGGTGAATATGAGCAATGATAGTTTAACAAATAATTTTGCAAGGTCCTAGAGCGCGGCGTATTGTTGCAATAAAGAGAGCTATAAAGTCATGATATACAATCGCGGTTGGTTGCATATAGTTTATAGATATAAAGTCAAAGGGCATAAAACTCGGTTTCAACTTAGAATTGGTCCAACTTAGGTTGGTCAACTGTTTTTCCAAACAAATCAAGAGTTATTTTTGATTTATTTAAGTAAAAAATCCTTCAATAGAATTCATATGCTTCGATTACGTATGTAAATAACACACAAGTTTCTTAAATTTAACATATAAACAATAATAATTTAAACTAGACCGCGTAAGTAAATATCACAAAGAAATTTGAAAGCGCCTTTTATGATCAGGGCTGAATTTTGATCTAATAATATTTCTATGGTCTAATAATACTTCCATATAAATTTTTTAAAAATTTCTTAAATTTAAAATCTAACAGTTTATCTGTTAAATAATTTGTTAAAATAGTTTTTATTAAGAATATAACATTATTATGCTTAAAATGTTTTTATATTTCTTTATGTATTAATTTGGGTACAAGAAATGTAACCTAATTATGTAAAAATTTAATTATACTTAAATAAATTAAGGGAATAATAGTAATAAATAAAGTAATATATAAAATTTAAATATGCAAGTTAAAATAATTTAAATCAGTTGCATGTTAATTTCTCTCCTTTTTGTATGCAGAAAAGAGAAACGTGATCGAAATGTAATAATAACTAATTAATTACACAATCACTTATTGACACATTCTTAATATTTAAAATGTTTCTGATTATTATAAAACGCGTTTTAATATTAATTATTTAAAATTTATTTAACAATAATGTAAAGAAATCAATAAATTACAAAACATAATATATTCATACAAATAAAAAATATTCTTGTAATATTTACACAAACCAGATACAGTGTTTATTAAATTTTTTAATGATTTTTTTACGATTTTGTAAACAGCAGAGGCTTATCGTTTCAATAAATTTTATTTCAATAAAATTATTTCAATAAATTTTAACATAAATAAATTACAAACATCAATCTGATTTTAACTCATAATATTAATATTAAAATAAATAAAAATCGATACATTTGATTATTTTTTAGCACAATATATTGATTAAATAAATTAAATAAATTAAAATTTATTCGTGTCCAAATAACTTTTTAATTTTTTATAATTGCAATGAATAGAAGTACGGAAATAGAAATAAAAATCATTATAAAACATCCTATGACGAATGCATACTCAATCTGAAGTGTAATTTGGAAATTTTTAACACGGAAATAAAATCATCAATAGCAAATGTCAGTTTAGTAAATTAAAAATTTTCACATTAATGCAATTTGGAATTTTTATGTGATAAAACAGATTGAAAATTAGAATCACTCTTCAAAATATTAATTTCGCGCGTGCAAATTTTATTCAAATGGATCGTTATACCTGACCTGTTTATCTTAACATCTTGGTTAAAGTCTGCTTTCAAAACATTTCGCAATGACACAGAAATACAAATTAATTTCGTATTTCAAAACACAACTTTCCTAATCGGACTTACATTACTTTCGAAATAAACAGCTTACATATTTCCAACTTATTGGAATTATATGAAGCAGGACATTATTTTTAGATAGAATTTCGTAAAACATTTTACCTAGGGATTAATCAAAAGTTGGAATGCGATTATTTAAGTTAGTAAAATGCTACATTGGTCGTTCTAACGATACTTTCCAAGAACATTATCGGATTTCGATACTCTAAGTTAGCCGTTTTTTAATTAGATAACATCTTATGTAATTAGATATACGCGACGCAAGAAAAAAAGTAATCAAATATTCGATTACGTGGTTCTAATTTCCAATAACTTCCGGCAATCCCATCACATAATTTCATTAATAACTGATCTAACGGATATATTCGTGTCTAAAATAAAATTGGCATAGAAACTGTTAATTATTAATTAATGTCATTGATCTTTAATTGGCAAAATTTTGTAATAAAAAAACTTGAAAATCAAAGAAATAATTAAATAGCAAACAAAAATAAGAAATGCAATTACATGTACGTTTGTACGCTGTGTATAGACATCACTGTAACATAAAGAAAGAAATAAATGTATTTAAATTTTGTTTTAATACCAATTTTTCTATTTATTTTATATGAAAACGAAAAAGAATGCAATTAGAACAATGTTATATCAACGATGTTTATATTGCTTATATAATTCGTATAATTTTATTATTTTTATTGTAATACATTTTTATTATAACTTTATCGCGGGAAAATGTGTGTGATCAGAATGAAATGTGCAAGTTTTGTGTGCGCAAAAATTGCCGTAAAATGATACACGTATATATTTATATTACAGAATTTCCAAGAGATAAAATTATCTCTTCCGTCTTTCAGCTAAATCTTTTTGAAGTAGAATCTGTTCCTCAAGTTATTCAAAATAACGTTCGGTCGATTCGCTATCATACAAGGGGTTCGATATCGCTAGGAAGCCATGGTGATCCTTCTGCTCTTCTTTTCTTCTTGCGGAGGGATGTATATTTCGCGTTAACCCAGAAACTCGCTTGGTACGAGCTTCTTATAAGTCGATGAGCTTCCTGAGAACTCATCTGGAACTCGGATTAGGCGGCTGCACGAGACAAAAAAAAAAGAAATACTACGAGTGCGAGGAAACATAAAGCAGCTTACATGGCGAGGCACTGCAAGGAATGTTCAGCATGCAAAGGAAGTAGCCACGAGACAGAGGCGTGAAACTCGAATAAGATCGCGGGAAATCGTAACCGTCTAGCGAAGATTTTCAAAGAAGGCGTTATTATCGACAACTGCCTAAGGCGCTTTGCGATATTAAAGCGTTAATAATTATGAAAACTGTTCAACTCGCAGAGGAACTTCTACAAAGACGACCGTAATAAATGCGCGGCATCGTAATTTTATAGCGGGAGCTCATCGCGGCGATTTTCAACACAGCGCCACGTGCGCTGTGCGCTACTTTCAAACGAATTTCGATGCCAATCTCGGCTGCGGCGGATTATCGGGAGCGATTATTTAACAATCTGTAGAGCCATTTTCAGCATCAGAAGCTTGCGAGGTCGTTCACACTCTCACGCGCAATAATCAATAATTTTAAATAGAAAAGTTTCCGCATTTTTCATTCCTTTACTCGTAAAGGAATTGATACTTCAATTTTTTTTCATTTCTTTCTGTAGATAACATTTAAAAGTGAGAATAGAAAATAATACTCAATTTTCTTTCCCAAATAATTTATATATCAATGTTAAAAATATGTCAGATATTCATGTTAAAATTAGATTATAAATCTAATATCGTTGAATTTATTAAACTAACGTGTAAACCAAATCTTTTACACATACGTTGCATTAGCTTGTAACCGCATTTTAACTTTACTGTACTACGAGATTTGAATTTCACCGAAGTCAAAGTAAATAATTTTCTTCAAAGTGGTCAAAGAATCTGTTAAATTCTATTGTCTTCAAGGATTTCGATACTTGTTCGTTATATAATTGCGTTAATTATGCGCGATATTTGAATTATATCACGTAAAACTGTAACTTATCCGCTGACATAATATACAGCTTGCTGCATTTCTTTTTTTTTTTTTTTTTTTTTCAAAAAAGAAATGCACTGTAGAAATTTAATAATTTTCTGTATTTTATCACAGTCTGTGCGTACCTTAATACTGTCATCTGGTGAAGACATAGCTCATCGTCAGGTGAACCAACCAAAGATTAAGGAACGCTCTCGAAACTCCGTTCCCGTCGTGCACAGCGGCTGGCAGTTCACCTGAAATTACATCGGGGTTATTACATCTTTCAGCTTATTGTTCAATTTATCAAATGAGGCTAAACGAAAAAGTAATCCACAAGGACAGACACAATAATTAAAAAAGTCCAGTAGAAAAACCAATTAAATTTAAACTTCTGCGATTTTGATTCTTTGTTTAATAAATTGGGCCTTGTATATGTCTCTATAACCTACAAATACAAAAATTGATTTTTTAATAACAAATAAATTTATAAGAATATATAAGAACAAGATGATTTTTTTATAAATTAGTAAGATTTCAATATTACTTGCATAGAATAAACAATCTTTATGTTACATAACACTTTTGATTTGATGCGAGGTTCATTTTAAAGAATAAAGAGCGTTTGCTTTTTCTTCTGAAAAGTTTGCGTTTCCAAGTTTAATTGGTTTTCCTTTTCAGCTCTTCAGTGGCTAGTCGTCATGTTGGCGCCACAATAAGAACATTTGCCACAGTAAAGTCATTGAAAGCTTCTCAGATCGAGTTAAATGGCTCGAAAATCGTGGTGTTAAATATTCGATTTCCGTAGAAAGCCCGTGCAACGGGCGTGCGCGCGCGCGCGTCTCTCGTCGCAAGAACACATTTGTCATTTCATTAATGGTTGTGTTCCGTCTATAGGTTTTCCGTCAGATGCAAGCCGCTGCGGGTTGACGTATTTTCGTGGCCTCCGTTTAATCGCTCTTCGACCGAGTTACGTTTCCCAGATAACGGTTGAGGCCTCCGGGCTTTCGAGAAATTAGGCGGATCTTATTAATGGCTCTTAAAACACTCTGCGCTTTGATGTCCTATGTTCATGTATTTACACGTACGAATACGATAGATACTGTGCGATCCAGATAAAATTTAAATGTCTCCGCACTCATTGTCAGTAAATTATTCTCACACTGATAGCCCTCTGATATTCTGATATTCTAAGTCGGCTTTCTAAAAGATTAGTAATTTATTCTTCTATAAAATTAGCAATTTATTAAGATTCATGGTTTTATTTTTAATTAACTAAGAGAAAATATATATACATGTCGGTAAGGACAAAGAGATGTCTATGCAAATCTATTATTTTATTACATAAACACACACTACACAATTAAAAGTGTTTAGCTTAAAGAATAAGATTAATTTTGATCCTTACTCAAGGTCTCTACAACTGTGAATCATCACTGAATGGTCAATACTTATTTACCATAAACAAAATTTGAATAAGAGCCAAAATTAATTACGCTTTTTAAGACTATTTAAGAATATTTATATTTGTAATATAAATATTGCAAATATTACATTCCAAATATATGGATATTTTTGTTTGCCGATTTATATTGACTTATTTATCTTTTCTTAGATTTTTCTGCAAACAAGTCAGTTATTATATAATATATCATTGCTATACATTATTTTATTCAGTAAACTAAATATTTAAAATGTCGATAGTTTAAAATTAAATGTTATATTTATACACGGAAAGAACACTTGCTGAATCCAGATCTAAAAATAATTTTTGTTCAATAATCAAAATAATTTGTACAAAAGTCAAAATAATTGTTAAAATATCAAAACGTTTTATAACAATGCTTATCAGTTTTAACATTCCAACAAATTATTTCGATGATTTAATAAAAAATTATTTTCAAATCTGTTTTTAGCAAAATTTTTAGATCTTTCAACAAAATCGTTCTTTCCGTGTATAATTTTCAAATTATGTATTTATATAATTTGAATATATGTAATAAATCTAATTATTTTAATTTTAATATTTTGTTGTTTGCGTCTCTTATAAACACTGTTAATTTTCCATATTTAAATAATAAATAACAAATTTAATTATAGCGATAAAAATTTTATTTGATGTAATTAAACTCATATATTTTATAAATCATATTCACAATCATTCCCCCTTCCGCTATAATATGTCTCGATATCGTCACAGTCCCGAAATTAAAAATAAATACATTTGTTAAGATTATTTTCCATTTGCTACGTTTGCTTAATGACGGAACCTAATTCAACGATGTATATCGATAATTGCTTCTTTGTTCTGACAGTAATGTTTCGCGGTCCACTATTATGTACTTCTTCTCTATCGTATCGATATTATTCTGACGCTCTGCTGCGCTTCGCTTTCCAATTAAAAAAGTTCTCGCTTTAATCAGTTAAAATATTTTTACGAGCTTTCAGCCTTTCCGCAAAATAAAAACTTTCGATTTTTTTCTCACACATTCTGCAATAGATATGTATTTTTCCATTATTTCATATCATAGCTGTTTTCATAACAGTGGACTGCGATGGCATTAATTAGCTCATTAAAAGAGATAAAATATTTATAAATAATTTGTTTTTATAAATATAGTCTCATGTTTCTGTACATGATGACATTCTTCGAGTTAGATTGATGGAGATGAATACTTTTTGGCCATTTATTATTAATAAAAATAGATCTATTTAATCTATACAATATATTGCGAATCGAACAAATGTAAGCACACGTAAATCTTGATGGAATATTTGTTCTAACAACTTTCTTGAATGCAGAAGTCATTGAATTTATCGAATTTGCATGACTTTTTATTTTCAAATCATTTCAGCTTTTCAAGATCAAGATATTTGTAAAATTTTCATTAAAATTCTTGATACTTAATTTTATTAAAAACATTAACACATATTTGCCCATAATTTCTTGTCTGCCTATTGATTTAAATTGACAAAATAATGTTTAATAGAATATATAGGTTAAACCTCAATTAATCAATGACTTAAAATTAAGCTTAAATTGTTTGTCATTTCGCTCGATGAGATATAATCGTGAGAAAATTGACGAGATGTAGTTTTAATCACCGAGGCTGTACGTCAAAAATATTACGGGAATAATACCGATGAATATTTTTCGCTGCCAAGTTTCCCCAAGCATTATTCGCGGCTATCGATCATACGAATCGTCCCGGGCATCGGCGTAACGTCCTTCCGGTCCGCGTCCTTCCTTTTCTGCTTGTCGTCGGGATGCCCATCGATAGAAATCGCGGTCCTGGCCGTGTTCCAGGATCGCCGTGGAATTTGTCAATTCGTCCCACTCGATCACCGCCCCCCGCCTACCGACTTACAGCTTCTTCACTTCCCACCGCCCTTCCTTTTCGCTGTCTTGAGTACCACGTACTGTCCCTTCGCCTACCCACTTGCTCCTTCAATTCTTTACCGAGTTTCAAGTCCTCCTCCTCCTCCTCCCCCCTTTCCCTTCGTTCCCCACAAATATCCCTTCAACTTTTTCACCATTTCTCCTTTTTCATCTTTTTATTTTCCGTCCTCTTTTTCTTTTTCGTTACAGTTTCTCTGTTTTCACCTTCTTCTCGTATCGATCTGCCGATCTCATTTCGCACATCTTCCGGGGATTTTTTTTCTTTAAATGACCGACACGCTGCAGATCTTTCTTCCGGTTTGCTCGCAAAAAATCACGGAGATCCTAAGATCTCCTTTATCTGTCTTAATCCCGGCATTCGTTCCGGCAGCTCTCCGGGAGAGAACCAGAGAGCGCCCAGCATTTTTCAATGAAATACCACGGGAACGCCGATGAAATGTCAGACTGTGCCGATGGCAGACGTCAGCCTTGTTGAGAACTGTTCTCCGGCGGTTTAATGATTACCGAGAAGCTGCATGATTACGCGAGTATCGCTCCTTTTCTTCCTTCCTTACTTCGTCGACGATTTTTTAATCTACCGAGAAAAGGCTTCGACGAATTAACTTTTCTAACAAGAATCACCACGACTTTATTTCATTTTTTGAAAGTAATATCGAGATAACGTACATGAAAAGGATGCCTTTTAGCCGAATATTCGATATTTCAATACTTTTACGGTTAAATATAAAAAACTAAAAAAATGTAAGTGAGCAGATAACTCGGTGGATTATATCATAAAACTACTTTAAAGTATTCAAAGTAAAACAAAAAATAAAATAAAATATGAATTCTTAAAATAAAAAAATTGTTGCGTCTCTAAATATTCATCTATTTAGATTGACAGAAATAAATGCTTTTTTCGGACATTTATTATCAATATAAAAAATAGCATCCTCTTGTTAGGGAAATAAAAATCTAAAAGTATAAAATTCAATAATTTACTAAGTAATAAATTTTTTCAAATTATCTTGATTATTACAGTGATATTACAGTGTTGACTCGATATTACAGCGATATTTCCATTACAAGGATAAAGTAACTCCATATGGTCAAAATATGGGTACATTATAACAATCCGTGACAAAAGGTCACAGCCGCCGGTCTGTTCGCCGTTGTTCGGCTCCGTTTCTCATTGCTACTTCGATTCATGCCCGTTGGATACATTTCCTGTATGCGGCAGAGTGTCCGCCAACCTCCGGCGATGAAGGGGCAGAACTTCCTATTGGCCACTTCCTATCCCGCTAGTTCAGCGTTAGGAATTCCAATTCCCGGTGCTTGTCCCTCGGCTAACCACAAGCCGGGGCCTTAAATTTAATCTTTCGATTAGAAATCGAAAGGCCTGAATGCGAGAATTACGTACTTTGTCTAATATTACAAAGTAGCCAAGAAATATTCAAGACGTTTTGTTTTTCTATTTTGTGTCTTTAACTTAACTTCATTAACGGTAGCAGTACCAAAATATTATATTATATTTCTTACAATTGAAGATATCAATTGAGATATGATCAATGAAATTGATATATGTAATTTGTATCTATTGCATAAAATCATATTTTATACAATAGAAAATATTTTATACATGTACAAAAGATGATATTATATTATCTTAATTATTAATAATGAAAATAAAAGGATGTTATTATTTTAGAATACACATTTTGATAATAAATAATAATTCATTTTATAATAAATGAATTCTTAATTAATTATACCATACAATCAATAATAAAAGAAAATCAAACTTTTTAATAATTGCTTTGTTTTTATAACTTGATCTGCATTTATGGTAGAGGAGACCATTGAATTTTCTTTTAATTG